ATGACCGTTTTTCACACATACGACTGTTGCAGCATTCCCTCCCCCCCCACTCCCCACGGTCACATGATCAAAATTTGGATGCTTGGCAATTGGCATGTATTTATGACAATTGCATTGTCCTGGGGTCATGCGATCACCTTTTGTAACTTTCTCACAAGCAAAGTCAGTGGGGAAGCCAGATTCACTTAACAACCCTGTTTCTAGCTTAACAAGGGCAATGGTTCATTTAACAACGGGGTCAAAAAGGTCGTAAAATGCAGCAAAGCTCACTTAACAACTGTGTTGCTTAGCAGTGGGGATTTTGGGCTCCATCGTGGTCGTACGTTGAGGACTACCTGTATAACCTGAAGGGTACTGTTTTTTTTTCTTCCACTGAGCTGCAATTGCAGCATGTGGCCACCAGGGGTTGCTTTCTGTAAGAACTGCAAGTGTGGAGGAAGCCTTTCTCTCTCAGGTGGATTAAAGGGTGTGGATGATTTTGAACAAGAGCTAACTGTTTAAAGAACCTCGTGGGGAATCCTTTCAAATGCAGACAGGGAATCAAAAGTCCCCACTCAAAACCTCCCAGGGTATGAGAATTGGAGGAAAAGATTTTTAAACACACCACCTTCCTTTTTATTTTTTTTTACATCATCATCATCATCATCATCATCATCATCATCATCATCATCATCATCATCATTATTATTATTATTATTATTATTATTATTATTATTATTATTATTATTATTATTATTATTATTATTATTATTATTATTATTATTTGTTCAACTTGTATGCTGTCTTTCTCCGAAGACTCAAGGTGGCTTACAATGCATTTAAAAACCATATATAAAACATTAAAAGTTAAATCATTAAAAACATGCAGGAAAAATATAAAAACCACCACGGAGGAAGAGGTATGCGGAACACATCCACATGCTGAATACCATATAGTTCTATCCCAGGAATAAAAATCCACGTGTGCTGTGTTTGCAATTAAAGGAGCATAAAGAAATGAATAGAACGGACACCATATACTGTATATGAAAGGGTTGAAAAAAATCCCCACCTTGTTGTCTTTTTACGGACAGGGATTGCTTAACCAGCAACTGTACCAGAGAAATTAAGATGTAGGGGTCAGAAAGTGCCTTAGAGATTATCTAGTCCTACCCCTAGCTCAATGCAGAACCCTTAGAGCAACTTTCATACATGATCACCCAGGCTTGGTCTGAAATCTCCAGCAAAAGCAAACTCATCACTTCATGTGGCAATCTGTTTCACAGGCTCATAGCTTGAACCCTGGTTCTAATCCTGTCCCCTGGGGCAATAGAGTGTAAGTCCATTTCTCTGTGAGGGACCCTTTAGATATTTGGACATGGGAGGCTTTACTGCTCTTAGTTTTCCTGGATTGGATATTCTTCTGTGTTGCTTTAATCCCATGGATCTAATGCCAGTGAAGTTTCTAATCTCACATATTTTATATTCTGTCCAAATGGAAATCATGCACTGAAACAAAGCAACGAACAGGTGCTCGTTGTTATTTTAAAAAGTGCTTGACTCCCATTTAGACAGAGCCTTGACTTTTACCCTTTTCGTTGTTATCCAGCACAGGGCCAATTCTGATGAATAAGCCCATAGCCAGGACTCACTCCTTGAAGTCTTCTCCAACCTTGGCACAAGCTTTTGAGTTCAAGTCAAACTTTATTTCTTCCCCTTCAACAGTTGCTTAGAAACATGCCTGCAAAAAATATACTTCACAGTTCTCACATTTTGCTGTTCTGATGCTAAGAGGTTCCCTCCCAACTCTTGCCCTTGAAAAAAATCCTGCTCTTTTTTAAACACACACACACAACACACAGAGAGAGAGAGAGAGAGAGAGAGAGAGGAGAGAGAGAGAGAGAGAGAGAGAGAGAGAGAGAGAGAGAGAGAGAGCAGACATAAATATCTGATTACATCTGAACCATCCATTCCATTCCCATCAAGCTTCTGTATTTGGGTAAAGAAATCCTTGGTGGTCCACCTCTAACATTATTGGATTAAAGTTTAACTGAGAAGCAAAACAAGGTATTTTGAAATTAATTTGCAAGATTTGGGATAGAGAACAAGGTGGCTGGCAAGCCGACAGAACTGCAAAGTATTTTTTTAAGGGAAGAGCTATTTAGAAATTAGCAGCTCCATTAAAATATTTCAAAATCCTTGAAATACGTCAGGTATCTCAAGAGATACATCAGGTATCTCATCAGGTATCTCTGGTATTGATAGGTACCTAAATATCCAACCTGAGAGGCAAAGATATGAATTGGTCTATATCCTAATTGTTTCCCTTCATTTTAATAATGGCAAGCTACCAAGGACTATCTGGTTGGTGAGGATCAGGCTGTTGATGGTTTCTGATTGTTTCCCAATTGTTTCTGATGCCTCCTAATCCAGAAGGCATCAGAAACAATTACACACCACAGATCAGCAGCCTAGAGACCTGCAGACCTCTTGCAATTCCATCCAAGGGTTTCCTGTAACTCAATAGAGGTTAATGGGGCAGTCATTTGTGCCACATTTGTTCCGTTTGTCAGTAATTTCTTAATCCACAACGCCCCTGATAGACAAATTAAGACATTTCATTTATATGAAAAAAAGACAGAAAGACAAACAGGTGATTCAGATGCATTGGCCAAAGACATATGTGCTACGCCATGGATTGTCAATTACTAAATAAGCTATAATGGGCTGGCTCATAAGCCATAACCCTGGTTCACAACTCCCCTGGTTGGCTGCGAACAATACATTAAGCCCCACCACCCCCTGGATTAAATGGTTGGTAGTATAATATATATAAACCTCTGGACTCCTTTCAGTCAAGGTTGACAGTGATTTTGCCCCCTCCCCCCTCCCTCAGGAGACAGTATAAAAAGCTCTTTCAAACAGCCACAGGCAAGTGAGGGAGGTGCCATGTTTTGCTTAATCACTCTTTGGTCTTCACAAGACATGCATCAGCTTGTGGCCACTCGGCTGACACCCACCGCTTTGGAGCACCTGCTGCTCAGCTGGGACCAGAAAATGTCTGTCTGTGTGGAGTTGTGTATGTGTGTGAGGGACAGAGGGCGAGAAAGGGGCAGATAGACAAAAATGCAAGGGTGTATTCAGATTAAATCCATACTCAAAATGCTGCAGGTTTCAGCAGTCTGTAAGGGGCACTGTTGTAACTCTAAAGAGAGGAATGTGAATTGCTTCACATTGCTGTTGCTCTCCCTCTAGGTAACGATTCTGCTTGTGTTCCTGGCCAGCATTTTTGCGCGCGTACACACAAACACACACACACACACACATTTGTACTCACAATCTAAAGAAGCGCAAATAAGTGCAAGGAGGATATTTTACTTAGCTTTAGCGGAAGCAGTTCTTTGCATAGTTTTCCCCAAGTTCCAAGGCAGAAAAATCAAAATTAAATCATCTCCTCCCATCTCTTCCTCCCTCCCTCCACCCCTCCAAAGACTACAGTAGTTTGACCAAAATCTCTGGCTTTAACTTTCTTCCCTCCTCCCCCCCCCCAAAAAGCAGCAATTGAAGTTTGGCAAACGTGTTGATTTTTTTTTTTAAAAAGAAACTTTTGCTCTGCCAAATGAAATGACAACCAAATGGAACCCATGCTTTCAAAGAAGAGATGCGGGGTGGAGGGGGGGGGGGTAAGGAGGTGTGTGTGTGTGTGTGTGTGGAGGAATACAATGAATGGAACAAGATTTATTGAGGGTTAGGAAGAGGCTTATAATTGCCGTTCTTCACTGGTTAGATGCAACAAGCATTCCCTGGATGCTGGATTTTGCAGAAGGGGACATCTGATAAAAGAGTGGCTTTTGTTTGGGGGGTGGGGTGAGGTGGGGTGGGGTGGGGTGGGGGAGAGAAGAAAACAAAGAAGCTCTCCGGAATTTTGGTATGGAGAGAGGAAGAAGAGGAAGGGGGCTGCTAATAAGCCAGTAAAAAGTAGAGTCAGGATTGGACTTGACGGTTTCTTCTTGAGGGCAAAAACGCTGACCAAGGTTTCCTTTCAAAACTCTCCCCCTCCCCTCTCCCAACTCTTTTTCATTATTCTGCTGCACCTGTTTCATTTTGATGCCACCCTGCCTTCCCCTGCAACGACCTACAGATGGAGTCAGAGGGAAACCCAGCCTGAGGATGGGAAGGGGCTACAGATACAGGTATGAAAAGTCAAGTCAAATGGGACTCACCTGGATATTGGTTGTTGCCACATTGGTGCTAAGGGTGCTATATATTGATTCACAAAGGCCTGAGAAGATAGACTGCTGCTAAGCCTGGCACTATTGGGGAAGGGTCGTGGTAACGGAGATCCAGGGGTAAGTACCAAAGGCAGTTATTTGTAGAATTGGGGCTTAATCTTAAACTCCCCCCCAGCCTTCTTTCAGATGGCAATATGCATTTACTTCAAAATGGGGGAAGCTGGCACCCCTTTCTTAGGGACATTTTCCTTGCTCATTTTCCTGGGTGCCCCAAATTATCTGCCCTAAAGGTCCTTCAATTCCCAACAGATGGTGAAGGTGCTTGGCTTTAGGCTGCAGAGAGGAACATAGCAAAGATTGAAGGAGGTGGAAGGGGGTGTGGTGTTTGAAATGCAGGGAGGGAAATTCACCAGAGAGAACGAGAGAGAGAGAAACCAGGGGTAACAGTCAGGGGTAAAAGAAGTTATGCAAGATGAGAATGCGCTGGGAAGATTCAGCTGGGGGAAGGGTAAGACAGCTCTGGAGAAAGAGAAGCGGCACTGCAGAAGACAAGTGGGAAGGGAGGAGAATGCCAGAGAGGCATCAGATCTGAGCATTAATCGGATTAAGTAAAATGACCCGATGACGCCTAAACCTGCTTGAAGGAAGTAAAGAAAGATGTTCAGAGGATGCTCAGTGCACGGCAAGCAACAAATACACAGGGAAGCCTTCTCTCCCGCCCCCCCAACCCCCACCAGCAGAAGAAAGTAAAGAAAGGAAGCTGAGCCAAGGGCCCAGGGCAGGACTCACCATTCTTAGCTTGCTCTCGGTAGCTCTTTTCATTGAGGCAGACCCCTCTGCCATGGAGCAGGGCGTGCAAAGGCTTCTCCTCGCCTTGACGCGGCAGGCAGCGCAAGCCTTGGGCGCATCGCTCTGTGTACACCCCACAGGACTGCCCTTCAGCCAGGGCGCATGTCATGCAGCATCCACAACCGGGCTCCTTCACCAGCTCACAGCCCACAGGGCTGGGAGGGCACATGGAGAGGGCTTTCTCGTCACAAGGTTCACAATGCACAAAGGAACCCAAGCCCTGCGAAAGCCCCAGGCACAGGGACACGAGCAGCGCCTGCATCAGGAACATCTTCAAGGCTCTTGTCAGGCGCACCGGTGCAGGAGTTGTGAAAGGCAAAACAAAGTTCTTTTTTTTTTTTTTTTGGAGACCAAAAAAAGATATATATATATAAAAAAGTCTCTTCTCCTTTAAGATTCCAAAAAGAGGCTTAATCAGAATGTTGGAAAAAAGAACACCTAAGATTGTTATAAAAGAAACGGCTATCACAGGTTTGTCTGCAGCTGACAGTTGCAAGAACTACAGATGCAACAGGTTGGTAATTTCAAAAAAGGAAAAAAAAAAAAGTCACCGGAAAAGGGGTTTAACAAAAAAAAAAAAAAAAAAATTTAAAGAGCAAGAGTAGCTTTGGTGAGGCTGCACAAAGAAGTATAAAATAATCCACACGCCCCACTAAAAAGCAAAGTCTGCAAGAGGCTGGGGAGGAAGCAAAGAACTGAACAAGCTTCTTTTCGACTGTCCTGATATGATCTGCAGCAAATTTAAAAAATGTCTGGAGTAGCACTAAAGCAGGTAAAGCTGAGCTTTGTCAAGAAGAGATTTTTAGCTTGGGACTGGCTGTAGTTTTTTTTTTTTTTTTGGGTTTTTTAAAAAAAAACCTCCTTTTCCTAGATTGGGTTAAAAACAACAAAGAGGTTTTCTGTTGAAGGGTTTTTTACAAAGTCTCTTTGACAAAGAGAGCAAAGGAGGAAAAGAGGAAAAAGAAAAGAATTCCACTTTGTAGATCTCCCAACACTTTCCCCCTGGAGAAGTTTCTAAAGAGACTGAATAGTGCCGAGCAGGCATGTCTTTTAAATAGACTGCCCCTGGCTGCCTGCCAGACCCTTGCTGCAATCTGAGATCCCAATGACACCTCAGCCTGAATTGGTGCCAGGAACCAGGGCAAGCTCAGTGCACACTCCAAGTGTGTGTGTGTTTGTGTGTGTGTGTGTGTGTGTGTGTGTGTAGGGAGGGGAGGGAGTGGGGTGGGGTGACTGTGCAGCTTTTGACTTCTAGGCTTCCAACGCACACCACCCAAAGGCATCCAATTGCCACCTTTATGCTGTGCAAGAAGAAATCAAGTGTGGTTTTTTTCTTCTTCTTTTTAAACTGCAGGAAATTTTTCCTTTTCTTTTTCAAAACGTTCAGAAGTTCGGGCTCAGCTGGTGTCATGTTTATTCTCAGTGCCCCAAATTGTAAACACGTGTAGCCACACTTTGGAGCAAATTTCATTCAACTCATTGGGATTTTATTCCGAGTAAGCTTGTGTGGGAATGGAGGAATATATCAGATTGCCAACTTTTTTTTTTTTTTTGTTAAGCACAAATTTACTTCTATAATAGCCATAATGTGCAAGAGTTTGATAGTGCCTTATCTCTATGACGTGAAAAGCTTTATCAGTGGTGTTTCTGAAAGCATAGAAGCAAACCAACCATAATTGTGGGTAGTTAGGTAGCAATGTTCATCATGAAAGCGTAACTTTGATCCAGTTACCATTACCTTGCCATCACTATATGCTCCATGCCCAAAAATGCATGCCCAAGGGCAGCATTGTTGTCAGGCAAGGATGCATTACAGCGAAGTTTGTAAACTAAGGGGGTTCCTTGCAGTTGTGGGTTGCTCCCGGTTCTGTCTGGTTCTTGCGAACCGGTAGTAAAAGCGGTGAGAGGCTCCGCCCACCCACCCGAACGTCATAATGGATGATCTGCGCGTGTGCAGAAGCGTGCACGTGCTCCCATTGCAAACTAGTAGTAAAGATAAGTAGAACCCACCCCGAGTTCTTTGCAGGATCAAGTTTACACCTCCTCTGGAATCGACTGTGGCTTCATGGGTTTTCAGGTGATGGGTGTGGCTATATATGGCATGATATGGCCCTGCAAGACTAAGGCCTGCGTGGTGGATTTTGCTGATGTACAATCTGTCCTCTAAGGCTGAGCCCCTGAGGCTTCTGTTGCCACTGTGTGTTTGGATGTATGAGATAGACAGAGATAGATACACGATAGCCTCCTCCCCCTTCACCATAACTTACTTAAATTGAAAGCAGGAACTGGGGACAGAGAAGGGGCGGGGGGGGGGGGGGAGGAGGAATCCATGGAAGTAAACCCCGTGGGGAGGGGAATCGATTACAGTGTATAACAAGGGGGAGGGGGTCGACTGGTAAGGCACATACAGTACTACAAAAGTTTTTTTTTCCTTCTTCCACCTTTCTCCTCACAAAACATTCCAAAGCATCCCACAACTTGGAAACGTTTTGATTCTAAACGATAAGATGATCTTTGGGATATTGCTTGACCTAAGGACAGAACAATACACTGCTCTTCTTACTCACGGATGGGACGAGGAGTATTAATTGCCTTCCCAGGACCCTAAAATTCAGTAACTTGCTTAGAAAAAGTACAGTCTCCTTTCTCTCTTTTCAAGCTTTTTCTCTCTAACCCATAATATAGCCCAACCCTGCTGTAGCTTTGCCTTTTTGCCTAAAATCTGGAAGGGGGAGATGAATCATTTAAAGGAAAATGGGGGTCTGTTTGATTGAGAATTTTTTTTTTTTTTTTTGAGATTGCAAGGAGACTTCACCTCCTCAAGTTAGATGCCAGCCCTTTTCTTGCAGCCTGGACAGACCTGTGCCTGCATTACCTTATTTCTGCCACTAGAATGCACCCTAATCTATGATAAATCCTTGAGCCTCTCTGCAAAATGTATTTTAATACTTTTCTGCTAACCTGACTATACTTTTTTACCTTACTGCTTGAGGACTGCCTCAAATTCTCTCTCTTTCTCTCTCTCTTGCCACTTAGATGTGATTATAGCCCTCAGAAATTAATGAAGCAATTGGAGGGGGGGGACAAGGGGGAAAGCGAGTTGCCCAAATAGCGGTCCGTTTCTTTCTCTATGTGGAATCTGGCAAATCTCCAGAAACTAATGGAATACTAGCCCCTTTGATGATTCATGAGGTGTGGCTCCGTTTTCTCTGATAGAGGCTCTGTCTTGAAATGCCAAGTGACAGGCAGAAACTCAACGGATGCAAGCCTATTCAAGTGGGAGAAAATAATATGGAAGCAAGTGTCTGTTGCTTCTGAAACAGAGGTGGTATTCAGCAGGTTCTGACCAGTTCTGGAGAACCGGTAGCGGAAATTTTGACTAGTTCAGAGAACCAGTAAATTCCACCTCTGACTGGCCCCACCTCCATCTATTCTCTACCTCCCGAGTCCCAGCTGATCGGGAGGAAATGGGGATTTTGCAGTATCCTTCCCCTGGAGTGGGGAGGGAATGGAGATTTTTTTTAAAAAAATTTTTTTTGATTTATATGCCGCCCTTCTCCGGAGACTCAGGGCGGCTTACAATGCGCTAAGCAATAGCCTTCATCCTTTTGTATATTTATACAAAGTCAGTTTATTGCCCCCACAACTGGGTCCTCAATTTACCTACCTTAGAAAGAATGGAAGGCTGAATCAACCTTGAGCCTGGCGAGATTCGACCCTGCAGTAATTGCAGGCAGCTGGTCTTAATAACAGGGTGCTTGGTGTACTACCAAGGCTCTTATTTTACAGTATCCTTCCCCTGCCACGCCCACCAAGCCACGCCCACCAAGCCACACCCACTAAGCCATGCCATGCCCACCAAGCCATGCCCACAGAACCGGTAGTAAAAATTTTTGAATCCCACCACTGTTCTGAAAGTGAGTTTTCCGATCTTCAGTGGTGGGTACATGTCCATCCCACGCTTACAACACCTTGTCTTGCTTCCTGGGCACTTTCTACCATCGATGGCATTTGACAAGTATCTTCTCGTCACAAAAAAGTTTTGCTTCTGAGTCCCTCCTAGCAAAATCCAGAAAGACAATTCATATTCCATGCATTTATGGCCTGATGGATAAGAGTGATTTTTTTTTTCCCACACCAAGGAAAAGGACTTCTGAATAAACAGAGGTCTGGGTCTATTTTATACTTCTCTTACACATCTTACTTGCCAAGTGACGAAGAAGATGATCTTGGTGTAATTTATCAGCAGAAATCTACTGCTGATGCTTTTCTCAGCACAAAGATACGCATTTTCAAATCATTCCTTGAGGCAGAGAAGATGTAGCCGCCTCCTGCATCAGCTGATCCTGCTGTCAACCTGGTTTTGATGCTGAGTGGCAGTTTGGCCATCACACTGTGATTGATAATACTGTTTGATCTGCTTTAGAAGAAGGATGTGTTTCTTTAAGCAGACATTGGAAATATGAAGCTTCCCAGATGCTTGTCTTCATTTCTCATAGTCTTTACTGAACATATTTGGTGGCAAAGATGGATGTTAGGAATCCCACTACATCTATAGAATTACATGGCAGCTTGGAGGACAGGGGAGTTCTGAAACTTTTGAATGGCATCCATGAATCTAAGTAGTGGTGAAATCTGAACCGGTTTACTACCAGTTCGCTGGCTGTGCATGCGCAGTGCGCACCACACACCAAATGTGTGTGCGTGCTGTGAGATGCAAGGTGCATGTGTTAAGTAGATCAGCGCAAGGGGGGGTGATTAGCTGTGGCACGCAAACTTTTTTTTTTACTTTTAAAAGCATTGCTTTTAAAAATAAAAAAAAAGCCTCTGATGATCGCGCTGCTCAGCTGGGATCGTCAGAGCCTTTTTTTTTTACCTTTTAAAAGCATTTTTACTACAACCTAGAGGTTGTAGAAAAAATGCTTTTAAAAGGCTCTGACTATCCCAGCTGAGTTGCCTGATCGTCAGACGCTTTTTTTTCTTTTAAAAGCATTTTTTTCTACAACCTCTCCGGCCAAAGAGGTTGTAGTAAAAATGCTTTTAAAAGTAAAAAAAAAAAGCCTCTGATGATCGTGCGGCTCAGCTGGGCATGGGGGGGGGGCACAGGGATTTTTATACACATTGTAAACACATACAATGACAATAAAGTTTGTTTGTTTGTTTGTTTGTTTGTTTATTTATTTATTTATTTATTTATTTATTTATTTATTTATTTATTTTTGCTACCGGTTCTCCGAACCACCTGCCGCCATCACTATCAGATCGGGCGATCTGGTCCAAACCGGGAGCATTTCACCCCTGAATCTAAGTACCTGTATCAGCTTTGGTTAGAGTATTTGCCAATCAGTATCAAATCTGCCCATGTTCTGCACGCAGGGGTAATTTCCAGATTAAATTGCTGTGTCCTGCATTGGCTTAGTACCTCTGCATATGTTGGACTCTAACCGCTATCAACTCAGGCCACACTTCCAGAAGCCAAAAGATGGGATGGG